ACCCATACGTGAAGTTGGCGTAATTCTTTAAATTGAAAATTTAAATTTAAAATCTCAAGACTTTAACGGGACACAAGCAAGACTCTAGCATTTGCAGCGATTTTAAGTTACTGATGTTAGGTTCTGAACAGAGATATTCCCTGTGGGCTTTGCTCTCGCATTCTGGCAAGGTAACTTGCTGCAAGCTTATAAGTTACAAGATGGCGAAAAATGTAACTCATTTCTTCATAACTTATTTTTGACTCTGGCGGGAAATGGAGCTGAGTTAAGCTCGCAAAATAGTTGTCCTCTTGAACACGCCACCATATATAATTCGGTTATTTTATTATTGGCACTTGGAATTGCACACTGAATATCTTGATTGGTCCATTCATAACCATTTCTTGGCCCAGTTAACCATAAGGTGCGAAATTTACCTTTTGCAGATTGTGTTATTTTAGCAGATGTATCTGTACCTTTATAGCAAATATAGTCGATACATTGTAAAGAGTTGGACCATTTGCGTACAATCAGCTCTAACAAGCCAGTTTCTTGACGTTCTTTCAAACCTATTGTGTTAAGCTGATTGTTTTCTGAAAGATTTTCTAAAATAGCTCTTACGACTTGCTCAGGATAAACGTATCTTAGATCTAGAACCGTCAACTGAGTGAAATTTAGGAATGTTTCTAGGAAGCGAGTGTCTTCTAATTGTGGATATGTACTTGAAAAATATGCCCTACCACAAATGAGCCTGAGCGAAAACAATGGGGTTGCATGCGTTCGCAGCACATCTATGTTGGCATTAAGGTCACTTTCCATATTTATGGTCAATTTTTCTAAACGTATTGTAAGCAGTTGATTCGAATCGGACGACAAAGACAACGGACAAAGACCAGGTGAACGCATCACTACAGATTTTAATTTTGAGTATTGGTTAAAAACTACTCGCATGCCTCTTGGTATCTCTGTACCTGATAAGACAGTTTCCTTCAATTTCGGCAGTAGACCCTGAAGCCTTGAGAGAGTGAAGAGATCACAAACATCAAGGTAAACAATACCGGATCCTATGCTTATTAATGTTATAGCTACTATGAGATCGTCGTTCCATTGAAAAGCTATTTGCACATTTTTATATTTCGCACCTCTTTGCCTAACAAGCTGGTTGATTTCTCGATTTAGATGTAAAGTGTCTTACTGCACGTTCACGCCAATGTTCGCAGACGGCATTTACTTGCAATAGATCGGCATGTGGTAAATAACTAAAAATTTTATCCCACACTTCGATCGGCAGTTCACGTGTTGGAGTGTTGTTGTCATGTTCCGCACTCGCTACGTCCAGAAACGATCAACAAATGATTCTTTGTTAACGTATGTAAATATAAGAAAGATCCGAAAGAAGAAGTGTAGTTTTTTCAGATAAATATTTTATGTTCAGAAATGTGACCAACCATGTATTTCTCAATAAATAAAGGACTTAAAAGCTCAAAGGATGTCAAATTCTTTATTCGCAATTTGCTTATGCAGTGAAACTTAAAAATTTTGCTTATTTGTTAGACGGTGGTAGATGCTTAGAAACAATTTAAAATACTGGCACCGGCCCTGTAGAAATAATTTTCATGCATTTCATTCTACAGTTGCATGCATTAAGGGCATACAAGAAAAAAGCGAAAAATGTCATCGACGCTTTTTCAATACTGGTACGTTTAGTGACAAATTACCAAGACATTTAAGAAAAGACAGCAATTTTTAGGTTTTATATATTTTACATTTTTATGGACAAAAATTGCATATAATCTAAATAATAATAATAATAGAATAGCAAGAATTTATAAAATGTTATTTTTTTTCTTCTTTGCAGGATATATATCCTTTTCTATTATTTAGATTATTATTATTATTATTATACTTAAATTTTATATTTATAAAAATGGTTATCTCTGATGTCCTATTTAGTCAAGCTTTAAGAAAGTATTCAAAGTTCTGGGGTCTGAACAACGAACGTATAAATTGGAAAAAAAACGGGAAGATATTAGCTGACGAGTTAACTGTCACAACAAACACGACAATAACGGTAAAAGATGTCTGCTTAAAATATAACAGAATCAGGGAAAGTCTCGTGTCCCTTAACAAAAATCCAAAGGGAAGGCGATGCACGAGACTGGTCGCGTACTTGTGGCACGCGATAGAGTTAGGTTTGCAGCATGCTGCTAATAGAATTTCTAATGACATACTAGAATACCAGGTAGAACCGATAGAAATATCTGAGCCAATCGTCATGATTGAACCAGAAATATCTGAGCCAATCGTCATGATTGACAACATTTCTGAGTGCAGTCAGTCTATATTCTTGGGTTTTGATGAAATTCAGACAGAACAAATTAAAAAACGTACAAACGTACAGACTGACGTACAAATGGACGTACAGACGGACGAACAAATGAATATACAGACGGAGGAACGGACAGATCAGGACACTCAGAGATCAATATTAGCCGTAAGAAGCCCCAATAGGCGTAGATATAATTTGAGGTGCAGATATACTGGATGTACGACGAGGGACCAAGTACATCGGCGGAAGCAGCGCGGATGCAAAAGATGAGACGCCTTGCTCCCGCTGCAGACCAAAATGGAAGTGGCCACAAAGTGCAAGAAGCTGATAACGCAGCAAATGTGGAGGCGCAGGCGGAGAATAGTGAAATTGTTGAACTAGCTGAAGACCGAGAACTGAAATTGACAGTGGATATCGAGGCGCTGCGGAAGGTCGTAGGGAGGCTAAGTCCTCACGACAAGGTTGTGCAGGTACACTTCGACGAAGTGCACGCCAGCGGCAAGATGAGATATTCTCGAACCGAGGATGTATTGTACGGTTGCGGCTACAACAACAGCGGAAAAATTACAACAACGGAAGAGTACCACACAGTACTCTTCTTCGCTGTACGTAGCCTGTTGACAAGCTTCAACATATTGATCAGCGCCATCGCCATAACCACCTACCACGGAGCTCCAGACGAACTGGACAGATGCTTAGGTATCGTAGAGGAGGCCGGCCTGGAAGTTAAAGCAGTAGTCTGCGACAGGAGCCACGCAAACCTGCACACAATGTTAAAGTTCAACAACGGAACTTATAAACGAAAGCGAGCGGACGGCACCATTTATACAATATACTATCTGGTCGACTATGTACATCTAATGTGCAGCTTTTACCACATGATGTCATACAGCAGACTGTTCGACACTTCCGTCGTCACTAGGGCGCATGCGAGAAAACTCAGCACTTCAAATCACTTGAAGAGAAGAGGTGCATGCTTAATCAACACTGCTGGAAATTCAACGATCAGGTGTATGCAGCTATTAACTCCCGCAACAGTGGCAAACTTAAACGTCGCTGTGCGGAGAAATATTATCCATAAAGAAAAGGACTTACGCACTTACAAAGTTATCGCTACTCTGACTGAATTCTGCGAAGTCATACACACAGGCGAGATATGCAGCGCCCAATGGGGAGGGCAGAAGGCGGTGCTGACGAAGGTGAAAAGCTGTTTAAGGGCTAACTTCGAAACAGACAAGATAACTAAGCCCACCTTGCAAACCATCGACAACTTCATGGAAGTAATGGATGGCCTGCTGGAGGCTTACCCTGGCATAACCATACACGCCTACAGGGTTAGCGAAGACCTTTTGGAGACATTTTTCTCTAAGATGGCGCCAGGCAGGAGAACTAGAACAAGACCCGTGGAAGATATAATGAAGCTGGGCACCCGCCTAATGAAACGACAACTAGAATTTTGGGGAGGCGAATCCAGCTCGGATGACGATTATCACCTGATTGAAAAGCTGGATTACGCGACACCAGCCCAGGCCGAAGATGGGTTTCTGCCATACGACCTGAATGGGGCGCGAATCTTGAATGCATGCTACCCAAGGACTATTTTACTGCTCAATTAATGAGAGACGATAAGGAAGATTTCCTTCCTAGCTAATCTCATTCCCATTTTACCCCTAAAAAAAGTCATGTGTTATTATTATTTTCCTTTCGTAATTCTTTTAGGCGCTTTTATGGACGAATCATGTATGGTCCTGAATTTATGATCCAGTGAAGTAGACGTTAATAAAATGGTTACATATATCTCTGGTGTAGCACGTTTCTTCTTCTTTTTCAATGGAAGATTTTATATAAGATTTCGAATTCACTTTACCCTTAGGTTACCTTTTGGTTATTATATGTGGACAGACATAAAATAAAAAGACATTTTTAAATTGATTCCGAATCTATCGGTACGATAGAAAGCGCGTCTAACTTAAGTCCGGTGTATTACATACATCGGTAAAAATTTAACACTTACTAACGTGTAGTATATGGTGTACTTAGGATTAAAGTAACGTCCTCAACATTTATGTTACAAAGTAATTTTGTAGCCCCGTATTCACTTCAGGTTCTTCTTCATGCTGGGTAAACGGAAAGTGGTGATATTAGTAAAGCAGGAGTAAACTTTAGGCTATTAGCCGACATTTTCTTAGTAGGCATAAGAAAAATTATCTGGGTCAACATTCAGCTAAGAGTTTCTAACTGGTCAGAAAAAATATATAAATATATATATAAGATCAAAAAAAAACGTCTCATTTACTTTGTGAAGTATCCCAAGTGTATCGGAAAACCTTTCTAGAATTTCAATGTTACCATAGAAAATAACAAAGTTGTTTGCTATTACTAACGAGTACACAAAAAAAATTTCCCATAGAAATCGTGCTTTTGATTAAATTTGTGTAAAAAATATTTATAAAAATCTTAACACTGCTTATAGGAGTTTGTTTTAATCATTTTGCCACATAATAACGGTTAATAGAAGAAAAAAATTTTTTTTTGCTCTCACAATCGTAAACCAGTCGCCAAGTTTCATATACTTGATGTCTTCTTTTTTTTTCAAATATATTTTTGATACAATTTAAAAAAGGAATTAATTTTTTATTTGTAAAGAGCTTGAATAATTTGAGAGGAAAAAGATCCGAGATAATAAGGAAAAATGAATTGCGAGAATAAATTGGCAAATGTCAGTGAAGTGGTTTTCCAGCCTCCGCCACCACGTAGCGTAGACTGTGAAAAGGTGGCCGTTAAACGACCACCTACAAGGAAGCCGAAAGAATCTCCTCGATTAGTGGTGGCCGAGAAAAAAAATTTAAACGGTGACGACAATTGTCAAAATGTAACGGTCAAATTTCAATTTAACGGTAATCAGGTGGTAGCGCAAACCTATCCAATATGTATAACTATAGGCGAAATCAAGACTGATCTGGCTCGACGATTTGATGTGGATACCGATTTATTGATTTTGAGTCAATGCAGTCGCGTCCAGTCTGACGAGTGCGTCTTAAGCGAAGCGTCCATTAATGAATTCCGCATATACGAGTTTGATTTAAAATTAAAAGCGAGGAAGAAGCAGAAAAATGTCGAAAAGGATGAAAGACATGAAGACCATGAGCCCGTATTAGATTTTGATGTCTATTACAGGTAAAGGATTAATAATGTTTATAATGACATCGAATTCGACTGAGTCAGTTTTTTGCCTTACTTTGGTTCCTTGCAGTAAACATCGTTTACCAGATTTTATAACCATTTGCATGGAGAAAAATGAGGAGATATGCCATATACCGGTTGCAATACATGATGAGGCTATTATAAAGCCCACCCTTTGCAGTTACGTCGACAAAGCGACTGGTCGGTATGAGAGCTTACAAAGGACTATCCTACTTCCTGCTTGTTGTCCTTGCTTATTTATTTGCAGGCTTAGTGTATACGGATGCTTTTACTCAAACGGGACCACTATTCGATAAACAAAAGTATGAAAATTATATCTCTCGTAATACGCAGACTAAGGAAATTGTAACTAAGCAAATTGTAAGTACTAGAAAGAGAAGTAAATTTACGAATGCGTTGAGCTTTCCAAAGTAGAAATATTCGTACCCATGTCGTAGTACAGCAGAAGCTTGAAGCTACAATGCCACAAGTCCGCACAACTAATATAAGTGATTCGTTTACTTAGGATACAATGCACGATCAAACTGCTCAATGCTTTTTAGACGGAAATAATGTTCGACACTGGATTGAGAGCGATGATTACTATATCACACCTGGAAAATATCAGACGTACGCTCAGAAAATGCGTGCGGAAAGGAAAATGCACAAAATAATATTAATACAAAGGAATTTTCGCCGTTTTAAGTGGCAGCGTTGGATGAGAGAATGCGCCTGTGAATACAGGTAAAACGAGGGACTTCAACGAATACGTTGGGAGCTCCTGCGACACTATTATCCCTTCTTTGATTACAGGCGATTGGTTGCGAATCGTATTAATGAAGAAGAGGCTTTCAAAAAGGAACAGGAGAACCGCATAAGTCGTGAGCAGAGAGCCAAGCAATTTCCACGCACCAAAAATGATTTCGATATGCTCTTGGGCGAAGTTCAGAAATGGAAAACTGCTGAAATGAAACGCATAAATAACATGTACGAGGGTGCTCCCCGAATAGCTGAAATCAACATTTTATTAAACAAAGAAATTGAAATGCTTAATAACCTCGAATGTCAACGCAACTTGGCCTACAAATCAATGGAAGATGCTCGTCAGCAGCAGCTGTTTAAAAAAATGGGTGAACCAATCAAATGGATCGGCTATGCCGGTAAGCAATTCGAAAGTTATCGGAATATGCCTCTAATTAAAAAATGCCTATCTTGCGTTACTTAGACACGGTTATTCATTTGGATTTGCTGCGTACTCAAAGAGTTCGTTTTCTAAATGGCATTTACAATGACTTATGCCAGGATTTACCTAAAGAAGAACGCCTGCAACTGATTGATAAGGTTCGTGCTCTACTATTAAACGAGCAATGTTTTCCTGAATTTCCCGAGGTTTGTATTACGAAATGTATCCTTTTCCAATTTAAATTAATGCTTTTTTTTCAATTTTATTAAGCTCTTTGAATTACTTGATCGCGAAAGAAATTTACTCATTTACACGGCCTGCGCCGATGTTTCCATACTACGTAAACGTCAAAATATTTTGTTTATCGAATTGATCAAATTCACCGAAGAGCCACAGCCGAAAAGTAAGTTTAAATATAAGTAATTCTTCTTTTTTCTTCTTCTTCTTTCTTCTAAATGTAGTAGTTAACAGTCATGCAACGAAGTCCAATAAAAGTGCCCCGTCGTTCTACAAGAACTATGTAAATTACTCTTTTCTTATTTTAAGAAGCATTTAAAATATTATTGCATAATTTTAGGGTTGAAATATATTAGTTTATTAAGAGTAACTTGAGAAAGAGAAGGTTTTGCATTGTGCTTCCGAACGGCTTTTATTCTCGCATTGAGAAATAATGCTTCTCTTAGATCGATTTTGAGTTATCTTTCCGTGTCGCTAATCTGATATAATCCAATTAATTTGGAATCTTTTTTTGCTGTACTTGACGTTTTATCGAATTCAAGTACACAAGTTTAATAGAGCCCACTGACGAGCTTGACGTCAGAGATTCATCATATAAAATGTATTTGTGGAAATAACTTAAAGCACATAAAAAGTATCGTAACGTAATGAAAGGTCACGTAACAAAGTGTATATAAAATCATGGATTGCAAGATAAACTATTTTGATCGACATAATCGCGATTTTAGGCAGATGGGCAAGCTGAATTGATGATATCAGCCTCCAGCAGCTAAATAAGGAAAATTAAAAAGTAAAATTCAAAAAAGCTTGCCTTTCGTTAAAAAATCTTGCTAATAAAACTTTTTTTGCTTCCCTTATATGAAAATGAATTAAATCCAATTTGCAAGCCTTTGAAGGAAATACTCCTTCAAGTTAGAATATCAAATTTTCCACATAAAACTTCATCACAAGTCGTTTTCAAATATAAAATTTACTTTCATTGTGCTCATTAAAGCTCAAAGTTATGATGTATGTTGCAATTGCAAAGCGTTAGTTTATAATTATTTACAGGACAAGATAATCGGATGTGTGTAGTATGCAAACTGGTGAAACCGTATTCCAAATTTGCCATACGCACCCGGCAATTTCAAGTTGATACATGCAAAAAATGTTTTTATTTAAAGGTGAACGTTATTTCCAGCTCATCTTCCAAAACTTTTTAAAAATCAATGAAACTTACCCGTTGCATAGGTTTCTCCAGCTGAAAATTTAGTTTATACCTCAATTCTTCGATCCATACAAAGAGAAGAGCGCAGGAAACGGTGCAATGGTTCGTTTGCCTTTATATTGCAAATGGAGGATATACGTTACTTAATTAGGGAGGTGTGGCATGGGCATTCTATACTCAGTAAATGTGAAAATCTACAAAGACTACGGTAGTTGACATTGATCTTTTTACCCCTTAAATTATGTTACACAAACTTTTGTAGTCTACCGCGTTGGTGTAAAAATGAAGAATGGTCACCGTGGAATTGTGTTTGCTTAACAGAAAACGAAGCACGGAATCACTACAGAATAAACGATTTGGAAAAGACTTACGATAAAAAATTGGTATTGGAAGTTGGCAATCGTCAGAAATTGGCTCGTAGTGCATTCCATAATTTGGCCGCCGTGTCTACCGAATTTACCGAAACAGGAACTTGGTGGAAGGTGGGCTTGAATCATCAACGCATCGTTAAATTAGACGATATTACCACGTATAAAGGGGCTGATACTTTACTTCAACGTAAATTAGATGATAGAAATTATAGAATTGGCAAAATTCTTTAAGTTCACATAAAAATTGTTATAAGTGGTCTGATGATTTCACAAAGGTTTTTCTTATAATTCTCATAATTTTTGTACTACGCGAATCTCATAAGCCTTTTTTTAGGATTTGGTAAATAAATCGAAATAAAAACAACTTTGGAAAACAAAATTGTATATAAATTAACTAAAGATTTAATTAAGCCATCACACAATAACAACAAACCTGCAAAGCGGATTGTTTAATTCATTACCAAAATCCTTTTCGTACTGCATTTTATTTATTTGTTTTACTGCTAATTAATGATTTAAATTTAGCCTCTAGATATTGCACGCGTTTTAGTAATTTATCGCTTGTGCTGAATTCATTGTATGGTATGGGTAACACACGATAGCCCTTCTTTTCGAGCAGATCAAAGCATAAAGTGGTAATACCACTTGCTGCTCGATGGGCACCATGACAGACATCATGATAATCGACCACCATTAAGGCCACTCTGGAACGTTTAAAATTAATTTTAAAATAATAAGCTTTCATCTAACCTACCTAATACCGTCCTGATGGTCCTTATCAATAGGGAGGGGATTGCGTTTAGCATCAAAAACGCATAAAGCATCTAAAATAATGTAAAAGCCTCGTTAAAAAACAAAGACAAAATATACTTCTCTTTACCTATTAAAAACCCCATTTTACTATCTTGTAGGCTTTTTACATAATTATTAGAGGATAATAGGCTTTTTAGAGCATCCAGCATACCATTGACTAAGATTTGCTTAGACTTCCCATGACTTATGGGTACATCAAAGACTGGATTCTCTTTCGCAAGAAAAGGTCCTTGATAATTTGAGGCAATCAGTTGCGCGTAACTGTTTACATTTAAAAGTTTCATCTTCGTTGTTGCAGTTAAACCAGCAGGTTGTTCGGACTGAAGTTTTTCAATGAATGCTGTGCTATAAGACAATGTAGAGTCAAATTTGCATTTTATAGGAAAGGGAGAGAGCTCACCTTAAAACGCTTTCCAAATGCTTGTGGTCGCACAACCCACCTAAAACTAACGCCCACACATGATTCATCCAATCATGGTTTTTGGGAAAATCGTGTTGGACAATAGTGCCAAGTAGCTTGGAACGCACCTGCTCCATTTGAGTAGTTTTAAAATTTAGCGTAGCTGAAGAAAGAAATAGAGCACTTAAATCCTGGGGACGACATATATCGCTGTGCTGTAACATCCACTGTGTTAGAGATTCTAGAACATCTGTATAATAACCAGTGTGTTATTACGTACGTTCTTGACATTTGGTGGTAACAAAAAAAAATAAAAAATTAATAAATGAAAACATCTCACCTAAATCTCTATACTTCAATATACCCAAGCTAGTTAAAATTGACCCAACCGCCGCTGACTTATCATTATTTTTTGGCAGCATCACTTGTATATCAGCGCAAAGCTTGGCAGCTAGCACAACATCTTGGAAATTTAAGCTAGCCATTGCGTAAAAAACGTCAGCACACTGCTTTAAATCTAATTGCTCATTAGCGCTGCTGATATTAAAAGCCAAAGATCTCAGCAACGGTGTACTGCGTCGCCTGCGAACCGCTAAAGTAGTCATAACCCGCACCATTTGCGGCACACTAATACTGGCTATGAGTTTAGCAGCTTCGTCATCACCTGCCACACCCAAGACCGTGTTCAAATCATCTGTTCGAAAGCCATCTATTTTAGCTTTATTTTCGCTGTTTTTGGTAGAACTATTACTATCTTTCGGCACACTACGCCCTAACATACGACATATACGCAAAAACCGAGAATCGTTTTCAAACTCTGACAGCTTTGCACGGTTCATACTAGTCCAGTCGGCCAATATAGAAACTATACGCAAAGCATGCTTGCGCGTTAAAGTACTATTGTTTTCCGCTAAAGCTAATAATGAGTTTACCGTTTTAGCGTTGATTATTTGCTCGTCAATCGAGGGTAACGAGGGAGAAGTCGAAGATAACTTGGGTTCTGGCAAAATTCTCTCTTTAGTCGAATCATCTTTAAGGTTTTCAAAAGCAGCGGCAATTAGTTTTCCTAAAATAATTCCTTCTATAGTATAGAATTATAGTAAATATAATGACGCCATACCTTTAGGCCTTTTAACCGGCTCATCTCCTTTAGTTTCTACTTCTACCTTATTTGTGACCTCATTTGATTTGTTACCTTGTGTAGCTTCCTTTGTGGCAACATTTGTTGACGATCTTAAAGCATTGCCTGAATAGGTGGCTTTTCGAAAAAATTGAGTAGCCAGGACTATAGCATAACGTTGTAAACCCAACATTTCTTACGTCTTCGAAACCAAATCTAGACAAAAGGAAAAAGACTAAGTTTACATAACCTGGTTTCAAAGCACGTAGTTTATAAAGAATTTGTGGTGGCGTTTTCAAAATAACTTAAGATTGTAAAATATAAATTCATTCATTCGTTTAGTTAATTTTAGTGTTTCGTATAGAAACATAACTTAAAAAACTTATTTATTTTTTAATGAAATACTAAATTTTGGTCGAAAAATACCGTTGGTGCGAAAAGTTCTATTTACAACCGCATTGACAACTGTCAAAAATCACAGCTGATTAGCGAGTTTCGAGTAAAATAAAACCACACATGGTACTAGCTTTACAATAGCAACCACATACGGTATCTTCCAGCGTTGATTATTTTAGTACGTAATTAATTTTGTATAATTGGCTAGTACCATTTTTTACATCTCTAAAATACTACTTTCCCGTCCAACCTTATTACCCACTTCACTTGTTAAGATATCTTTTTTTTTTTTTGCTAGCGATAGCAATTTTGATGTGAGAGCGAGTGCACATAATAATTTTTTTGCATTTTTATAAGTATCATTTAAAAATATTTAATTTTATTTTCTATACAACGTAATAATTAGAAAGTGAAATAATTAAGTAGTTTAGTTTAACAAATAATTAACGAGGACAATAATAAAAAACGAAGAAAAACCGTGTGCAGTGAGGCATTAAAAATCTCAATTTTCCTTTCGTTTTTTCCTAAATCATCAAAAGTGAATTTTTGGACACGAACAATATTTGAAAAGAGGAAATAACAAAAAGCAAAATGGTAGATAAATTTATAAATATGTGGAAAGTGCGCGAATTGGCTGATAAAGTGTAAGTGAAATCGTATTGAGAATTGTTAAACTAATTTAAATTAAATTAACATGTATGTGACATAAATCTGGTCAAGGTAAAAAAAAAAAAAGAAGCAGCAAACAATTTTCAAAACGTTGCTGCATCTATGTTACAGACAAAATGTGGCTTGTTTTGTGTCCACGTTCACAAGAGAGCGCATTTGTGTGTGTGTGTGTGCATGTGCATGGATGTGTGTATTGGACATTCTTATGTCTATGATGACGGCAACTAAGTGCAATTGCACTAGAATCTACGAAGCGCCAATTTCATGCACACTTACGTGTAAATAATCGGAGAAAAACAAATGTAACGATTATTACTTGATGAATAGCCGTTCAAAGGTTCGGCCAATGTCTTGTCTCTATGTATAAGCTGTGATTTCATTTATCCATTTTCGTCATGTGCATGCAAAAGGTCTTGGCGTACGATTTGTTTAGAATCTGTTTTTTTTTTTTTGTGTGTATTTATATATAGCACTTGTTTAAACACCTGTTTCTCAAGTTACACTATACTCGGCAATTCTATAAACAACAAACAGTTCAAATTAAGAAACTACTGAAATATACGCATTAGCAGTGTAGTCTTCCTTTTATGAAGAATGTTATCTTTCGAAAATGATAATAGACAAAAAAAAATTTAATTAAGAAAATAAATGAATTTTAGGTGTTGCTGGGAATAATTTGTCTTTTCCCGTTGGGGGTTTATAGTATATTAGTAAATTTTCTTCTATTGAAATATGCGCGACTCACCTCGCATAAAACCACATAGCAATGTACACCCTAAGGAAAGAGAAAGTACTAACAGACATATACAACTACGTGACGGAAGTTGGAATGTTTTACTTCCGTGCTTTTACGCAATTAAAAATTACATTGCAATGAACATAAAAGGAGTATTTAGTTCTAATATTTCATTTAGTTGCATGCACAATATACGTACACGAAATGGACGACCCCATATAAAAAGGTTTTAATACCTTCCTTTTCAATTTTTAATACTTCATCAGAAATTATACTTTTAATGACTATATTTTTAGGATCAATATTCACAATTTCTTCTAACTCGTGATCAGGAGCTATTATACCTATTATTTTTTATCCTCAGCGCAAAATCTGAATTAAACAAAAATATTCACAAGCCCGTCTCCAAACTTGTTATCTACCTTGTGATAAGCGTAATAAACTTGTAAACTGTCTACGTGAACTCATGGCATGGTTTGTTATAATCCCGCAAAGAAAGGTTGTAGGTGCAATAACTTTTGACAAATATTGAAAGATTTTCAATTCATTCTATATATAAAATTACATCCTCAACACGATTTAAAACGGTTATGTCGGGGTTTATTCTTTCGTTCTATGCGAAAGTTTATCGTACAGAAAAATTTGGAGTTTGAACAGGACCGATGTACTGAACGCTTTCGCAATTCCTTGTTTAACTCTTTCAATTTCTTTCTCGCAAATTAAAAAAATATATATATATAAAAAGCGGTCTTGATAAAAATTGTTTTTACTTTCAGCTTTTAGCTCATTGTTCACTTAAAAAGGTAATTGTTAATGGTTATCTCTTAGACTCTTTGTTCATATACATGCAAGTAACTTCGTATTGATAAAACCATATTTGTATAGGTGTTTTCAATTTTTTAAGTGCTAACCACATCCACTACCAGCGAAGATAGATGTCGGAAGCTTTGATATATATTTGTAGGGAATGGAAGGTTGTATGTCCGATAATTCGCAAACAAGCAATAATACTGGAACTAAAACATAGAGCGATTAGGCATTTGTTAAGATTCCACAGAGTTTTTCTTCCTTCCGCAGGCGAAGACAACTTTAATTGTTAAAAAATTCTCATAGTTTCATGGCGAAAGCGTAATAAATGCATTTGTAAGCGAGAAAATATGAAAAAAAATATTTTCTACACGTGTTTACTGCTTGATATATAAATTATATAAATTAAATATATGATGTAAAGATAAAAGAGAATTTAATATTATTTAGCTTTTCGTTACGTACATGAAAAGCTTGGTCTGTGAGTGAAATTTGAAATATTTTTCAGTAAAAATAAAGCAGTACCAGGCTACCACCTTCACTTTGCGATAAATTTTGGAGTAATCACTAAGGCATTGTGGAAGGTTCTGATGAATTCATTGACTATGCAGAAAGCAGAAAATTGCTATTCTTCTGTTATTCGCGACTATATAGATATAGCTGAAAAAAGCCATATATATATATATATATACAGCATACAAATCTATACTCAATTCTCAATCTACAGTCTGGGATTTGATCGCACACAAAAAATATTCTAATTTATTTTAAGGGGAATTGTTTTCAAGCCAATTCAAATGTGTAGATAGTGCAAACTTTCCATAGCAAATGATTCGGAAAATTGCAGATGTTTTTTGTCAGTGCATATAAATTGCTTTATATCTTTGCTGCTTAAGAGGGCCTTTAATTACATAGAAAAAAAAAAAGAAAGGGGAAGAAGAAGGACGACGATTATATTGCTTTATCGCTTCCAGGCAGCCTTTGACTAGAATTAGCAAAGGAGCACCAAAAAATTGTTAGATGGTTGCCGTTAATACCATGGATCTTACTTGTCAAGGACAGTGCAACGTACCTAAATTTACCGCATTAATATGTTATTAAAAAAGAAAAAAATAACGAAAATACGCTATATGATTAAACATTTTTCAGAAACTATCTTTATCTAAAATTTAGAAAGCATTGTTGTTGAATTGCTGACCCCGTTTCTTTTTTACTTTTCAAAATTATATGTCCGAACAAGTTCAAACGCTTTCTATGCAAGCAATGTGTGGAAATCGCTTAATAATATCTCCAAGTTAGGAATTTTAACGTTCCGTTTCATTCTTCCTCACCATTAATACCGACTTTTAAACTGATTAATGCTGTCGCTGTGGTGCAAGCTTGATGCCGAATATTTAAAGCAATTCGTTAGTTCTTGTGCGAAGCTTACAACAATTTCTGCCTCGATTCATCAGATCACGCAAAAGATGTTGCCTGGCTATAAACTCAATCTCATATAATATCTCTTGCATAATTTTTAGGACGAACGTTGTTATGAATTATACCGAAATCGAAGGTAAAGTTCGTGAAGCCACAAACGATGATCCGTGGGGACCGACAGGGCCTCTGATGCAAGAATTAGCCCACGCAACATTTTCATATGAAAGTTTTCCCGAAGTAATGTCGATGTTATGGAAGCGCATGCTACAAGACAATAAAACCAATTGGCGTAGAACGTATAAAGTAAATATTAAAAAAAAGAGAAAAAATTAAAAACTTTTTAAATATTTCCTCCTGTCTTTCCATAGAGTTTACTACTGCTTAATTATTTGGTGCGTAATGGATCAGAACGTGTTGTAACCTCATCGCGCGAACACATATATGACTTGCGTTCCTTGGAAAATTACACATTTACAGATGAGGGAGGCAAAGATCAGGGTATTAATGTTAGACATAAAGTAAGCGAGCGAATCGTAATAATTTGAAAGATGTTGGTTTTTACGCTTTCCCTGCACACTTTTAGGTAAGAGAACTTATAGACTTTATACAGGACGATGAACGCTTACGTGAGGAACGTAAAAAAGCGAAAAAGAATAAGGATAAGTACATTGGTATGAGTAGCGATGCAATGGGTATGCGTGGAATAGGTAGTGGCGGTTATAATGACAGTGGTTGGAAGACAACGCGCAGTGATCACGGTGAAAATTGGTGTAAGTATGAATGCAACAAATACGTTTTCATTATTACGATTACTCTCTAGTTTTTTTTTTTTTTTTAAATATTCAAAAAAAACCGCAGACTCTGATTCACGTCCCGGCGATCGTTATGAATATGATGATGATGCTCATTATGAAGGGGAAAAAGAATTCTCTGATAGTGATTCACCCAGCCCAAGGTAATTATAAATAAAAAAAGAAAAAAGTATTATCAGTATTTTCTGATTTGTTTTAAACCATTTTTAGAAGAAGTTATCGTTATAATGATCGTGCCAGTCCCGCTGAAATTGTAAACGAATCGAAAACCTCAAATAGCATTAATATGAATATACGACCGAAATCCGCTAATGCTTCCTTAGGTAGTGGCACATCTATTAAGCAACCACATCCTAAAATTCCTGTAGGTTCTAAAAAAATTGATATGGGTGCAGCGGCAAATTTTGGAAAAACTCCTGCGACAAGTACAACTACAGCCGGCATACACTCACCCACACATCGGGACACTCCCACAGCAACCGAGAGTAACGATTTAATCGGTTATATGGCCATTAACAATAACAACACGCAACAAAGCAATAGTAGTAACAATAATACTGTAAGTGAACTTTTTAAAACGTGTGCACCGCCAGCACGTACAGAAGCAACTCTGAATAGTGCTGCCGTCATTGATGACGATTTAGATGACTTTAATCCACGTGCTGCCGAAAGCGCACAAACGGAATTCGGTGATTTTGCAGCAGCTTTTGGTGCAGCAAAATCCTCTATCACTGAACCTCCTTCAGGCGGACTTTGTGGTTCCAACGCATCTACCACCGATGATTTTGCTGATTTCTCTGCATTCCAAAGTAATAGCATCTCAACTGCTGACACTCAACCTGATACGGGAATTGTGGGTGGCTTGGATGGAAATCTTCTAACAACTACCACACCAGCCAACGATGCATTTGATTTATTTAATTCCACGAATGCCACATCCACTGTGACTACTGACCTCTTGGCTGGACTCGGTGACTTGTCAATACATCAAAGTATGCCAATGGGTAGGTATCAATTTTTTGATTTTGTATAATTTGTCGGTCTTAAAGAATCATAAGTAATATTTTATATTTTAATATGACTCTTTGATGAGCTGCGGCAGCAACACATCGCACATAGCGCATGTTGCAAATATTTTCTATTGAGTAACTATTGGCGAAAGATAAGGAAATTTTATTAAAAAGCAGCTTCTTGAATATTAAGGAAATTGCTTTCGCTTCGTTTGAGTTTATTATGGGATATAATTGTAGCTTTAGAAATGATCTTAATTGCTCTTATACTTTGTTACCGTAGTTTACAAAAAAAAAAAAAAAAAAAAACAAGTTAATTTGTTGCACCTTTTTTTATCACAACGTTAATAATAGAAAACTCAGCAGACAAGTATTAAGTAATTTTGTCAACATTAATTACACAGTATGTTTTTTAGCTTCCTTACTTTATTGTTATTGCAGGTTGATTGATATTAAGTTCGCAATTATTTTGAATGCGTAGAGAAAAGTACAACGTTCGAGACTGTAAGGTTTATAGAGAGCTTTTATGGGAACATTTATGCAGGAGAAATTTCGCTTATATTATCGCGATTACTTTTCATATGTATTGATTTGATATATTATTCTGACAGTATATAGAAAAAGATATAGAAAAAAAGACATTTGTCTCGGGAATCTATTGCTTTCTATAACCTATTATATTTATTCAGTATGATAATTACGCTTACACAGCATGTTACATTTACAGTATCAGTGTAATATTCATATTAAGAAATATAATTTTTCGAAATGTCGTCTTTGAAAATTAAAAATAAAATAGCGGTGGGTGTTGAGGGACTTGACCTGAGATGAATTTAAGTTTTCTTCTTTTTTTTTTTTTTTTTCTTTTTTTTATAATGATTTTTAGTTTTAAAGGTGCAACGGCACATTTGATTACAAAGTTAAAAGTTTTTATTATGACACGTAAGCAAGGTACAATGTTGTTTATCTTAATTGTTATTTCAATTCTCAACTATCTAACATTTTTACACACTATATATCGTATGAATTTTAGTTACAGTCATTGAATGATTGCCTTCCTGAAATGTGCATGTTACATATAGACCAAATGAATATGAGTTAAACAAAAAAAAAAAAAAAAAAAGAAGAAAAGTCTGAGTGATTTACTAAATAAATAGATTTTGATAGATGATATAACTCATTTAAAATAACGGAAGAAAACACATTCCAATTGGATGCCTACAACTTTCTCTTCACTTTCAGCCGACAAAGATAACCATGAAAAGGACCAAGTCTTTCCGCCTCATTTAAGAGCCAAACTACAGCAAGCGATACTCGAATTACAATCGTTAACTGAAGTACAATCATCTAACGAAATTTGTGGAATACAGGGAATAATCAAAGATTTATTAAGCGAACCAGCTCTGCCGGGCTATACTACATTAGAAAAATTATGTGAATTTGACAAAGATTATATAAAGTGGCAGCTAATCGCCCATAAAGAGTATACCGATCTTTTAAATGCCGTTTGCCAATTATTTAGCACCTATTGGCCAAAGGAATTAACCACAAATGATATGTATATTTTAAATATATTTAAAATTGATTACAATTTCAACTTCATATTTGAGAGTTTTATGTGTTTAAATACCAAACTGGATAAACTACCTGAAACCATAGCAGTGGTATTGGAATATTTGATAAAGGATGAGGAACTGTTAGCAATCAGTTTCTTGCACATTTGCAGAGAGAGAGCAATTTTGTTGGGAACACGCAAGGAAGCCACCGAAAATATAACGAGACAAAAAGCAGAGGAATTTGAGGAAAATGTGGCCAATTATTTGCAATTGTTGATAAGTTTACCGGACCGTATAGCAAATAATCTCTTGGGAAAAATATCAAAGACATTCACACCTACTTGTTATGGAAAGATATTAATGCAACACTTTTTGAAATCCTTATGGTTTTTAGTGCATCTAGAGGAATTTAAAGAGGAAGACTTTAATATACAGTTCCTTACCGATCTACTAAATCGCGTTGTTATTGATTTATATGCGGATTCGCCGGAGGATGCGAATATTTTATTGCTATTGCAAATACTGGCAGAAATGGCTAAATCCCATTCTTGCGCCCGAGTTATACAATTAATGTTATGCAACATAAGCAGCAAATATTCCACAGTGGCTTATCGTTTGGCTTTACTTATGCTGAAGAATCAAATCAATGTTTATTTGTTATTAGGCCCTGCTATACGAAATAATAATACTTGGCAATTGTGTTTCATGCATAAACTAGCTGTACAAAGAATTCCACATACTAATGAGGCTCTATTGGGCTTAGTGCAGTATATAGCGAGCGTGGACGAACAAAAACTAAAACAACTTTTTCAACTTTTATTGGAGACTTGGTCAAAGCGTATAGTCTTGCAAAAACTATCTCATAAAGAACATCTTAGTTTATCTAAATTAATGTTACTGACCGCTAAAAATCTATACGATCTAAAAGAAAAAGAAAAATTTCCGCCCGCTGACGATAATGATACCAAGCGGCTGTTGCATGCAGGCTTGCGAAACCATTTGGAATGTAGTGACTACGAGCAAAGATATATTGGAATGAAAGTAGTGGAATTAATATTTAATTGGATGACAGATCCCGAGGCCAAAGAGGAGGAGCGATTAAAATTCGATTATAGTTGTATTGAAGGTTCTTCTAAAGGCGAACTAATCCAGGAATTGGATAAGTTGATGGAAGAAAGTGCTTCACGTAGAGAAGAAAATATCGAACCAGAAAATCTAGAAGAGCTTTTGAAAGAATTTTTACAATCTAAAGTAAATTGCGCAACGCAGTCAAGACCTTCGTTCAGTAAAGTCGCCGAAATTTCTTCTTCTTGCTCATCAGCGCAACCAGCAGAACAACCGTCTGCACCTTATAAAACTAATTGTACAGAAGTAAATATAGACTCAGATGATGATGACGACCTACAAGCTTATGATATGTCTAATGATACGCCACAGCTTCTAGAGAAGCGTCCAAAATTTTTGCTTGACTTGCTTAACACTCTCAGTACAAAATGTGAGGATTATGAAACATTTACAGCCGCGCTCGACACAGCCGAATCATTGATTAGAAATCAACTGCCGCATTCTGATATATATATGGCGTTGGACTTGATGAGAATATTTCTAATTCTAGAAATGCAATTTTTCTTCGAAAACTTCGACGAAACTAAATTCAAATGTTGTGTAGCGATTTGTGTTAGCTATCCAGCTGCTTGTGCCGAATACATTTGTCGCGAATTTCATACAGACAACTCACACTACAATGCAGATCTAAGAATTATAATGTTACAGATTTTATCTCAAACGGCTAAAGAACTCTGTGGGGCTATTGCAGTTGAAAGTGCTTCTCTCGAGACAATAAAGCCAATGCAAAACCGCAAACCTGGATTACGTAAATTTACTTTTGTCAACGAACATCGTGAACGTTTACTTGAAGCTCGTAAGATTATCCGGCAAAGATTACGAGAAAAAACTAAACGTTATTGCAGCAAATCGAACAATAGTGCTAAAGACAAAGCTGAAGTAAATCGATTTCATTCAGTAGTGGGCACGTTTTTCTTTTGTCTAGTTCGTGGCGAACGTACTAAACAAATGTTGTATATAAGATATGATCGCTTAGCTCACGATGTGGATACGATGTTGTTGGTTAACTTTTTGCATACCCTTTCAATTATTGTTATGGCTGCAGAGAATAGTCCTTTGATTGCATCGATAGCACGCGAAGTCTTTGACCTTTGTTCTTTTGCTCGGTTTAGCCTTGAATCATCTGTACGTTTGGCCACTTTGGAATTGCTGGGCATTACCTTGATTACAACACCTGGTTACATAATGTTGGAGCAATTAAATGAACGTTTAATGGAATTGAAATGTTGGTTGGAAGATTTCATAAAATCACCCTTGATTGGTGGCGAAAAATCCGAGGAATGTCGCGAAGTTGCTGCACAAATTTTATCAACCTGCTATAAAATAATAACTCCTGAGAATTTTGAAAATACTTAAACATTTAAGTTACAAATAATCAAAGGGATTTTTTGTTTTCATTGTTAAATAAATTGAAATTTTCCAATTTTAGTTTAGCTATTGAGTTTGCTTAATTCGCATATTGGGAATTTGACAATCATAAGCCTTGATTAAATTAATCTTTCTTTTAAGTTACCCTATGAATCTGATACGTTACCTAAAGGCTTGAATAATGTTTTCATTTTCACATGTCAACTTTTATAGGAACTACAAACTCTTGAACCTTTAAGGTCGATGTTGTCAACTCAGGTCCATATATTATAAACAATTTTATGCTTAAAAGTGTTGAGCAATAAATTAAACTCAGTTTTCTTTTATGTTTCTAACGGGAATTAACAGTAATAATAATGAATGATAATAATATTCGTAATTAATTTTCCAATTTAAATAGAAATGCTTGAAATAGAAAAAAAAAAAAAAAACAAGGAACAAAGTATGAATGACAGAATTCCGTTTTGAAATTCCGTTCCAATCACAAGATAAAAAAATACCAATTTCTTAACATCTTCATCTGTACAAAATATTCATACAAAAATTCCACTAGGAATTTATAATTAGTGGAGTTCATCAAAAGGGTCTACGGATTCTTTGTCGAGCGTTCCGTAAGACTTGCAAAGATAAGTATAATCATTGCACACTGGGAAAGATACGGTTGAATTTTCTCGGTACCTGTTCTAAATAACAGGCAGAGAAATAAATTCTAAGACTAAGTCTTAAGTCTCCAGCATCTAAGGCTGTCGGCCTCTTTGAAACGTTTACCGCATTGGAACTGTGAAGCCACGATCCTTAAATAATAAAAATATAATAATTGTAGTAGAGAAAAAGCATCCAATGAATCCGGCAAAAACTTTTGTAGCTAGTTGCCTGCTCAGTAGACAGAAAGCAAAAGCATATATTGTGAGATTTATGCTCGGTGCCACAGATAGAAGAAGCGTTCTGAAGATTCGATACAGTTTTCTGTCTCTATGCCCGTTAGAGTTGGTCTTGCAAATGCAACACCAAATTCTGCTCAATTACCAAAAATTTAAACCTATGACCCCTAAGATCCAAACATTTTCGGGAACTCGCCTTGGTCATACAATTGCATCTCACCAATGGGTCTTGAAGAAGTCTTCTTGCTTAATCTGCAAATGTGGACAGGTTCTCACTATAAAGCACATTCTCTGTGACTGCGTTAGCTTTACCTTGGCTAGAAGTAGAGCATTTGGAACGATTAACCCTATGGACATTCTACAATTAGCTACAGAACCGAATACCAATGCAATATATTACTTTATCAAAACTAATAGGCTCGATATCTAATGTACTTCTATAAATTAGAGCCGGTAGCCTGTGTTGTTAGTACTCAATGTCTGTTTTTTTAGTCTAAGAATTTATTTTATTAGTCTAAAATTTTAATAATAATAATAATAATAATAACAAAACTAAGACCCAACGTTGTGGTAATGTTCCTTGAAATATTTCGAACTCATTTTGCGAACTGTTTCTTTTAGTACTTTTTGTTTATGTATATAAATTTCAATTTTGTTTTCTATTTAACCGTTTTATTACTAAATTTTATTGTTTTAATTTATTTTGTTTGTTTTTCATTTTTTTTTATTTTTGCTTTAACAACATTTTGGAAATATAAAAAATTTTATTCATACGGCTTTGCATGTATATATATATGTATATATATATATATATATATACATGAAATAAATATATGCATATGAAAAAGCCTTTCTCAACATACCAGGAATAGTCACACCACGGACACCTTAGGTAAAAAAAATATTCTGAATATAACAATAAAATTCCACAGCACTGTACTTGATTTTATATTAAGCTACAATTAACTCATTTGTCGTAGATCTGCTTCGACAATCTCACATTTTACACCTCAAGCCAATAGGGTTAGTAATCGTAGTAAACGAGCGGATTAAATGATGCAAGCAGCGTACATTGAGAGTATTGGGAAGGCGTGGTCAATTTTTTCCATTTACGCAAACATATTTTTGTACATTATGAGTAATGACCAACAAACCATTTTTTCATTGTTTTTGAAAAACAGAGATGTTCTCAATTTACATGGTGCTGTGGGCGTGTCCTTTAACTGATTTGGTCCGTTCTCAATAACAATCTGTATACAAGAATTTCCGATGCTTCTGCCAAATTTGAAGTCGGTAACTTCGTTTTTAGCGGCCAGGAGAATGTTTACAACAGACGGACAGATGGACGTACTTAAATCGATTTAGAATTTAATGCTGGTCAAGAATTTATAAAATTTGTGCGGTCTGTGATGCTTTTTTCTGGGCGTTGCAAACGTTTTGATAAAATGAATATAGTCCTCATCCTGTGGTGATGGATATGAAAAATGTATACATATATATTAAGGCCTTGAACATATTATTGACAATAAAAGGCTTTTACATCTTTATTTCATACCTTTCTTCCAGAAAACATCCACCCTTACCGTTTCTGAATCGATTTGAATATGGTTGCTCATCTGAAGGTTTCCCATTAATTTTCGTGTTCAACCTATAAATGGTGGCATTCTTGAAGATATTTTAACACTAGATTTACGGCACCCGTCTATTTGACAGGAGATTGTGGATTCAAGCTCAAAAATTCCGCATTAGAAAGTAGATATCTGTAGAAGTTGTATACTATTTTTTAATGCTCTAATGCAAAAAATATGTATGTTAACTCTTTTTTTCTGGTCTGGTCCCAAATATTCGCCAGAACCACCTGCATGTTTGATGCAAAAGATCGTTTCGATTGATTAAGTAAAACGTTCATAATTAGCGGTTCTATCATTGAAAAATTGTCAAATTGCCAAGCGCAGTGCCAACTGCTATCGGCTCCTGCTTAGACCGAAGTATGACAGGTGATGTCAAGAGAATATTATCTGGTAATTGTACCTCCAATTGAAATTATCATCGGAATAACGCAATTGTCATCTTGCCAAGTTCAAGCATCTGCTTAATACATCCTATCTGTTTAGTAGATCTCTCCCTTACATATAGAAAGGTTAGCAAAATTTGATTTGTTTAATTTGAAGCAGTTTTTTGTTAATTTTGTGGTAAAGTCCGCGGTTGAGATGCTATTGTCTAAACTCTTTCTGGAGAAGCTTGTTGTCCGCTTTTGTGAGACTTATACTTACTTATAATCAATTATGGACTTGAGGTGTAGAATGTATCCATTAAATATAAATTTTTACAAAGCTTAAGCACTCCCACAGGCCTTATTATACTGTAGTTGATCCATTGTTAATATCCTTGTTTCACTTGTTTCTATTTTTAAATATATAAAATACGACAAACGAACCGACTTTCATGCTTGTATGCTACTATAAAATGATTACTTTTTAATACAATTTTTTTGCAGATAACATTCTATCGTCATCGCAAACAATTGTTGGTAATGATAATCTATTGCAACCAATTTCCACTAATAATAATGTTGGCCAAGAGGAATTCGCAATAAATTTGAATAGTAAAATAAGCAATGGTAGCAATCAGTCCCTTACACAAGTAGGTGCTACTTGGTCGGATAATTTAAAGGCTGGAAATTTAAAAATTGATTTGGACAATTTATTGACAAGCAAGTCGGGTAAATCCAACAACGTACCGGCGCCTTCAATGAATGCGCTTAAAGTGCAAAGTCCCAGTAAAACTTCAGCTACGCCCGCAAGCGTGCAAGCAGCGCCTATGGCCGGTCAATTAAATATGTTTGCTTTGCCGCCGGTTATTTCACCAGCAATTACCTCCAAGGCTACGCCAACATTGTTTAACGCTACAACGCCCCAAAGCATTCCAGGTCAACGACAACAAGCATTTGCCAATTTCAGTGCAATGAATGCACTGCAACAGCATCCAGGATCACAGCAGCAGCAGCAAAAGGATTTTATTAATAACAATAAGAATAACAATAATAACCTACAATCATTCGATCTATTCCAATGATATATAATTGTTTAGAATTGAAAACAAAAACCACCAAACTACTCTCTCCAACTACCCGCTCCACTTTCTTATATATACTTATTGTGTCTATTAGTTCCATTATAATTTCAATCTGTACGAATTAAAAAGTAAAAAAATGTTGTTAAAAATATTGAAAATTCTATACAAATATATAATATTATATATCCACTGAACTAACACCACTGTTATATACCATTAAATTTATTTAGTAAATATAACAAACTTACACTTGTGTGTATGTACACTATTATATATACTATATATACAATATATATGTATACTATGGTTTTATTTTTTAAGACGCGCCTCCGTTTTGCACATAATTAATGGTTTTAACAAGAAAAGTATTGAAAAGAATCAGTAATTTTTGCACATTTAAGATATTCTTGATACAATAATTCAGTCAATAGTGAGAATGCGCATTTTTATATGAATTGATATAATCTTTCAAAAAGTTTTATTATTTTAAAAAAGTCCAATATCCATTCAAAGTATTCTGCAAACATTGAGAAAAAAAAAAACGCATTGTATTTAAATTTTTTCTTATGGTAAATATTAAGTTTTAAAACTGTCTGTAAAAATTAAGCAAATTTTATGGCGAAACTATAATACAGTCAATCCGAAGTCGATATTAAGAATTTGAAGCTTGAAAAGGTTAAGGCGATATAATCAATTATTTTTAGCTACTAAAAGTAATTATTACGAGTTCATCAAATATCGTATACGAACGATAAAATTTGTTTGTTAATATCATTTTATTGTTAAATCAATTCCACAAACATTCAACATTCACACGAACGCTGCAATATTTCCAAAAAAAAAAAAAAAAAAAAAAAACGAGTCTATATTTTCATCATTCATATTTACCATCTATCTGAAATCTGGGATAAATATTTGACAGAATCATGTCTCCACTTTATACAAGAGATATCGGCCTAAAATCGGACTATCTACAGCAATAGTCATGACAAACTCCACCGTTGTATCAATATCGGAAAACCAATTTCTTTTTTTTTTCTTTTTTTTCTTCTCTTTTTTTTAAATTTAGTTTTAAATATTTGTCTGAGATTTAATTAAAAGGCATTTACGAAAATTTGTTTATGTTGCTTTAAAATTTTCATCATATCACATCACATCACATTAAAATAGTCAAAAAAGTTATTGTCCATGGGATATGTGCATTGGTCAACCGAAATAATAGAAAACATAGAATTTAAACTTGAAAAAATGCAAAGTTGCAATATAATAGTCTTGTGTAGATTCATAAAAAGGAAGGAGGAAAGGACCATTTCAAACAACACTCTTAAAAGAACTTCCCTCCGCTTTAAAATAAAAAATCAGTTTTGATTAGTTTCAAAATCTTTAATATTAGCAGCTTGGGCCATTACATAATAGTTAAAATTTTATCTGAGCCTAGACCAAACAAACAAATATTTGTGTGAGAACTGTATTATGATTTGATTCTGTCTTAAAATTGTAAGACGATTATGATCTGTGATGACTTTCACAGATACGATGAAGTGATGGGTTCTTGAACCTTATAATATAACTCAAAATGGCTAAATTTTCTTGCCATTGCTTCATCGTGAACCAGTTAGTTGCGCCGACCTCCTTAGCGATATACTCATATATTCGCCAATGCCAGAGTCTATATAAAATGAAATTGGATTGTAATCAAATCACTTGACAAAATGACAAAATTATTCTCAAAAATAACAGACATTTTTAGTGATAAAATTTTATAACGAAATCCGACAAGAACAAGGAAAAAACACGTGTATACAGATCGAGCGAACTTTCTTTCGAAATCGATAAAAAATCGCGTCTTGATCAACTTAAATTCTCAAGTAGTCGTGCATGCGTGTAAGTCAAGATAACCTTTTTGGCTGAAATCTATCGTGGTGCACGTTCAAAATCTATAGTTTTTTTTTGTTCGAATTTCTCGTTAATATTTGCATTTAGTGAATGACTCTTTTTGCTTAATTGACAGAAAATTGTAAGTTTGCAAATATCGATTTCAATTTTCGCGAAAACGTCGAATTTGTACAAGTGGTAAACAGCAGCAACAACAAAAATTGTAAAACGATAATTTTATTTGTTAAACAAATTAAAAAGTAACATTATGTACTTGTGCAGATCAATTGTAGATAGAATCTTTTTTCTCCATCAAACCAGGCGATGATTAATACCAGGTAGTAGAAGACGTTAAAAAAGGGAAACTAAATTTAGAGCCTTTTAAGAGAGCAAAGAGCAGCTAACTTCTCAATTTGAGAGTTATAAGGGCGGCTTGATATCAGTTTTTCGAGTGTAATTTTTGTATTCTCACAAACAAACAAAAGCAAAATTTATTTCCTCGTTTTAAATTGTTTTCCGTTCCGTTAGTGCATTTCCTATATGTCTAGTAAATAACTGAAGATCATTTTGCCTCCTAATTTGTAGAAAGAAATATTAGATTTTGTATAAATTTAAAAAAAAAAATAAATATATATATATATATATATATATATAAAGAGGAAAAAAATTCCAAATGGTCTAATAAATACTAAGCCCTCAGCAAATCAAAATTTCTTACATACATATTCAGCCCACATTCGCTAATAAGGACATTTGAAAATTAGCTAACACCTCATTCACCCTTTTACTGGGCTAAATATTTTTTAGACTTCATTAATATTTATATCGACTACAAATGCCAAAAGGAATAAACTTATAAACGAAGTAGATAAAAACATTTTCAAATACGTTTTTATTTACGTACGTGTGTATTGTATGCATATTTTATATATAAGGAATGAAAAATGAAAAAAGCAAAAAAAGAGGTTGTAAGTGAGTTCAACATTTCCTATAACCTTTTCTTTACTAATTTAGTAAAAAAGATAAAATTAGAGAGATAACGGTACGATAGGTTTTAAAAGTTTTAATGAAATAAAAATAATATATTGATATTTTTAATAATTCTCTGTAATAGTCAAATAAAGAATGTATTATAATATAAGACAAATAAATAAAATACACTTAGATGTGACCATAATATATATTTTATTTTTGGTGTATGGGTTTTTTTAATTTTTTCTTTTCTTTCTTCTTTCTTATTATTTTTCTTTTAATATCAAATCCTTAATATTTAATTATATAGAAAATGTATTCTTAAAATGCCTCCGTTAAAATTGCTTATTATTATTATTATTATATATGATTTCTATGGCGCACAATCAAAATATATGTAATGTGCAATATATTTCAAATTATAAAAAATAAAATAAAATCAAGAAATAAATGTTTTAAACGCAAAACGTAAAACCACTTGAAACTCTTATATTCATTTTTCCATAAAGAAGACGATGCTCCTGTTACTCTCCGCTGTTCGACCAATCTAAAGTATTAAACAAAAGTTAAGTGGTTAAGTTGGTAGTATAATAAAAGGTGGGTCTATTTCAAGTCCACCCGGGTAATTGATCACTTCCGGACAAACTTAATATACCCTTATACCTCAAGTGACGTAGGGTACGATTGCATTAAAAAATCTATCAATCTTTGATCTTTTCAAAGCACCGATTAATTAACCCTTTAACGACACTGAGGGTATTATTTTTCCCCATTTTAAATTGATGATTGTTGCATTTAATTATAATCTGATCTGCATTTTTTATAAAAAATGTCAAAATAGAAGATATACTGAACGCGATTATATAAACGGGAATGTTTAGAAAAAAAAAGAACTGTCTGTGTGTTACAATGATGATCAGAAAGGAGAGGAGAGAAATGGATCGGGAGTGAGTTACCAACTTTTAAGTGTGCGCCCGATCAGCAAATGTTACACTTTTATCTATCAAGGGCTCACTATGTAGTTACGGCAGTGCATCTATTGTATTGAAGGTATGATCTACCGCAAGGGGGATTGCATCCGTATAGGCCGATAGTTGAGAGTCGCACTTCTTAACTAATTAACTACTTAACGATGCGGCGGCACCTCGCGGCAGAATATCAACTTTGAATAAAAACCATTGCGTACAAACAATCGTATATATTTTTTATTTGATCTTAATTATATTAATATAATTATTGTTACATTAACACATTCAAGCGGAAGCCATGCTCTCCGCTAAGATACCATCCTTTATTATAAGACCAACCTAAAGTATTTAAGTTAACGCATTCGTGGACTGTAAAAGTTTCACTAAAAAGGACAAGAAATTGTATCCCATCACCTCTTTCAATAAACGCTTATCGCTTCTTTTCTGCTACGCACGCAGAAATTTTAAAAACTTGCCAAAAGTTTGCATTCACGTATGACGCAAAGCAAATTATATGTTCATCTACATTTAAATGCGCACCATCAACTTTATTTAGACAGATTGTACAAAATGCATAACGCAACCATTAGCGCTTAAAGCGATTTCGATATAACACGTTGCTAATTAACTTTGCTGTAGGTTATGGACACTTCCTGTTTGCTTTCTGCAGAGAAGGTAAAAAATCTACACTAATACTTTACGTAATCGCGATTGCTCCGAGCATTACCTAACTGCCATTTATTCTTGATCATGATAAAACTTGAAATACAAAATAGCTCCTTGAACACATCTTTGGGAAAATGCAAGGGAAAAGTTTGATTTACTCACAAGGATTAAACTCGCAAAATTCAAAAAGTTCCTCGCGACTTTGTACAAATCTTCAAAATCTCTCCCAAAAATAAAGTGAAAATGATTCATTTCAGCTAAATAGCTGGCACATTGATCACTTAATGAAAAATTTCCTACTTACTTATAGCTACAAGTTACTATAAAGAAAGTCTACATTGTTCATATTTCGTTAACAATCACAATTTGGAGATTTCTGTCCTAACAGAAACTTTACTTTTTTTGTTCTATTATCAAATCTACATAACCGAACGGCAAGAGTATACTATTAAGAGGATTTATCTAGCAGCAGAATTTCCAAAGGTACTAAGCAGAACGTATCCATTTATGTCTTCGAATAACTTAGGACGGTCTCTTACAAGCACAACAAATGATTTTGAAGGCGAAGCAATTAGCCCACGAAAGGCGAAAACTTACCATCTATCGCAATGACAATCTAAAATTTGGCAAAAATACCTACCAAGGTTTCCTAAATGTTTCACGTAATGATGATATCAATCACCAAAATGATATCATCGCGATTAACTATTTACTTTATTTATTATAATATGAAAAATCCGCATTAAAGCTGCATTTATTTTCTCGGCTTGTGCCTCCGGTACTTTAACTTTGTATACAGAAGAAATATTGAAATGATATCTAGAATATTAATTTTTGTCTTAAAATTAAAAATTGTTAAGGTATATCCACAGATCCCGGGCATATTTTTTGTGAATATATTAAATAAATTTATAAAATATCTAATTTAATATATGGAAAGCTTTAAAGTTGTAGAAATTCTGGTGTAATTCTGTGACGGCAAATGGAGATTATTGTCCTCCGTAAAATCAATATTTTGTATATAAATTTTTTCCAGGCAATGGATATGAAAATTATTGAAGGATTCTAATTACCTTACAGGTATGTTAAATTGCGCGTGCAATTTATGTACTTTGTTCCTTATTTTTATTTTTGTTCTTCTTTTTCTTTTTCTTCTTTGGTAGCTCATCGCTATCGCCATTTGCAGCTAATATTGAATTAGACTGTCCCTCGGTCAAAATGGTCTCATCATTAGCACCGTTTTGTTTAGCAACTGTACCACTGACATCGTTTCCTTCTTCTTCTTCCTCTGCGTGGTTACGTTTCCTCTTTTTGTTTTTCTTTTTCAGAGTTTGTGCATCTTCGATGGTGGCTTCGTCGGTAATAGCTGTTCCAGTAGCACTCTGTATGGCTTCCTTCATAACTTCAATATTTTTTCGGGGAATTTCACCAGTTTCATAAAACTTAAGTCGTTCTTCAACTTGTGCTTTCAGACTTTCGCCAAATACCGATGTTGGTTGTTCCAGAAAGCAATCGATACGCGAAGCAATAGAACATTTATTTGCCAGGAACCGGGATATACGTCCCTTATTCTTAAGACCAGCACGCCCAATAAACGAAGAGTGATATATTAAACCATATTTTGGAGTGTTCGAACGTGTTTTAAGAGCTCGGAATAAAGCCTTTTCAGCTCCCAGAATTTGTACCGTGGAGGCGGGATACTTAGCCAAATTTGTCAAACTACCAGCGTGCGATATTAAACGTGCACCTACTTGGTCACCAATAAGCGATTGCAAATTAGGAGCTACAGAAGTCATTTTGTTGTGCAAGTACGTTGACAATTTCTGACGATATTCAGATAATTTAACAACACGCTCCGCAAACATTTCTATGTTCATTAAATCTATAATTGAAATATCCATGCCCATGGACATTTTCGCCGCATCAATAATAGCCTTGGCTTTCGATGAATCCATTACAATTTCTTCCAATTCTTCCAATTTATCATCAGTTAAGGATTTACGATCTTTAATAAACTTCGCCGTCTTGGCGAATAAATAATTTTCGGGTATTATTTTAACCAATTCCGGGAAGTGATAAGAATACCACTCACGTATACGCATTGAAAAAGTATTGACATCCTTATCAAGCTGATCCAACAAAGCAATTGATTGTATAATCATGTTATCTGAACGATTTACATTAAACTTGACTTTAGCTCGCGAGTAACTATGACCCAAACCCAGTTGAGCAACACCAGCTGAAATAGCTGTGAAGCCTGCAAATAGAAGAGTTTGACTTTTTATACAAAGTTGTCGTTTCTCATTTTTAATTCTTACTTACCTTTAACCAATTTATGAAAGTGAAAACGTATACCACGTATAATCTCTGGCACTACACCGAAATGGCTGCATTGCACACCAATAGCTTCGCTTATCGCAGCACCGAGCTTGGCATCCGCTATACCCAACTGGCATTTTTTCTTTTTTAATTTGCCAAAGAAATCATCTAAAAATACCAATAAATCTTGCGGCACAATTCCCTCAGATATGGCATTAATATTTTCTAAAGCTGCAATCGCCGTTTTAAAGGGTGTAAAAGCAGCCAGCTTCACAATCGAATTAAATTTTCCAAAATCTGTCACCGATGATTCCACCTGAGGTAGAAACATAGAGATTTCTTCAAACTCCTTGACTGAAAACAAGGCAAAGCCAGCTGCATGTTCGTAAAGCACATACAAATTTGCCTAAAATAAAAGTACGATTGTCGTATTTAAGGTTACGTTTACATTTAGATTCACAATATTTTAACAAATACTAAATTAATGTTTGCATGTGTTCTTTTTCCATTTACAACTTACCATGTCTTTAAGAAATATAAAGAAACTTTAATAATTTATATCTTCTATAAAAGTTATAATTAAATTACTTTTAATTATACTTTTTAACACTTTAATATAAATGAAAACCTATCAAACGCACGTGTGGCTTAGAGAAGGCAAAAAAAAAAAACAAATGAGCAAAGTAATAAAGATCGTTTGTACGTTTCCCATAGACCGTAAATACTTGTCTAATTTTAATACGATATAAACAGTGTGCTCTCTATTTAGTGTAGAGAAATCTTTCTCGTGTTCGCGTAAAGTTGTTTTGCCTTGTTTTCTCGCATTGAAAAACTACGGCAACCCTTTTGACGGACACACAAAAACTTATTAGTAAAATAATTTAGCTCGTTTTCTTAACTTTTTTTTTTACGTATAAAAATAAAATTAAAAAAAAAGGTTTCTTTTGACAAAACAATAGTAGGAATTCTGTTACAGAAAAAAGAGATTTAAAAAAAAGAGTCGAAAAAACATTATTTCCGTAACCCCTTTACGGTGCAAATAAAAAAATAAAAACACAAACTAATAACAGGATTTATGAAACAACTATAAATAATTTTTCTAGAAATTGGTTTAACATCTTTTATAAAAAAGTTGAAGAAAAACTAACTGCGTCTGCTAAAAATAAATATTTTATGGAATAAAACATTACGACTACTACTATAATAATAACTAAATTGAGCCTGCAGAGGAAAAAGAAAGGAAAAAAGTAATACAAGAACGCACAATACCGTATACCCAAAAAGGAAAAAATTGAGGTGACACTTAGTAGGAGATTCTATAGTGTGTTTCTTCACCTAAAAAATTTCGAATTTCCTGCCTTGATAAAATGGAGTTTTTATTGTAAGTTTTCACATTATTTTACGCATAAATAATATATAGTTATGCATAGACTAAGTGTATTTTGAAAGTGCAGCGACCTTCTTTGCATATAGTTCTTTTGTCTTGCTTTTTTTTTTGTTTATTTTCCGATACAATTTTTTTTTTACTACTGAGAGTTGCCAGAACTCTTAACATGAATGGGTAATTTCGAGATTTTGTAAATGTATAACCGACATCGAATTGAATTGAATATATGAAAGTATAAAATTAAGCGATAAAATTTTTTCACAATTTGTAACTGCTTTGCGGGAAAGGACAAATGTAGCACAGCTGATAAATTAAGATACATGATTAACACTAAACCTACCACGCGCGGTCAAATGACCGTTTTTAAAATTTCAATCGTTACTGTATCATCAGTATCTGATTGACTTTTCCTAAAATATACATACAATCTATTTTTCAATATTTACAACTTTTTCTAATGTGCATTTTCCGAAATCAAATTGTACCATGTCTAGTCTACCACGAACGGTTATTTGACCGTCTGAAAAATTTATGTTATTTACGACTATTCTTCTATATATTCCTCGATAATCGCGTTCTTCAAATTGTTTTAGGAGTGTACAATGGAATTGTAGACTAGAATCTAATCAATCTTTCTACATTGTAGACAAATGAGCGGTTAGAATTTTTTTCGTTGTTATTGGAACAAAGAACATAGCGTTTTTTGTACGACAGTACGGTCTTGCGATACGAACAGGGAGCATCAAAATTTCAGTGTATAAATATTATTACGTGGTATAAGTCATAGTTTTGACAAACTCAACAGACTTGGTATGGTTGTATGATTTGCAATTGTTTTTTTATTTCTGGTCTCAATGTTTTTGCCCCGTTTGATTTATATTTTTATATATTAGTTTTTACTTTATCATTTCATTCATCCCCAAAAATGTCTTGACATTTGAGGAACATCAATTTATTAGACAAAATAAATAATATCGACGAGGATTGTTCGGGAGATGATCAAGAAGTTTACGATACTGATGATGATACTACAGAAAATTATTGTATCTTATTTGACAGCGATACGAACGAAGAGAATATTTTGAATATACCAAGAGGACAAAAAAGAAAGAGGTTTATAGTTAATTCCGAAAGTGAAAATGAGGAAGAGATTGAAACTGCTATGGACGGAAATGTTTGGAAAAAAATAAAAGAAGGCTCTAACGGTGGAAGAACATGATTTATAATATTTTCAAGGAAATATCAGTATTGACAGGATACGCTAAACGAACTGTTATGGAGGGCAGAGCATTTACAGCATTTTCTTTGATTATTGATCATAAAATGATTGAACATGTAAGAGAATATACGGAATCAGAGGCATTTCGAGTGTTGAAAACGAAATGGAATTTATCTCTTGCAAAATTATATGCATTTATTGGACTTCTATATGCACGCGGCGCATATGAGGCTAAAAATATTAATTTATCATATTTATGGAACACGAAATGGGGTCCGTCATTTTTCTCGACAATTACGAGTCGAAATGACTTCGCAGAAATCACCGATACAAAACGATAAGTTCGCATTGATTTCACAAGTTTGGTATAAATTTATCGAAAACAAGCCAAAACTGTTATAAATCAGGAGCATAGCTGAACAGTTGTTTCCTACAAAAGCACGTTGCAGATTTACTCAATATATGCCCAACAAACCGGATAAATTTGGCATAAAATTCTGGTTAGCTTCCGATGTAAGTAGTAAATATACAGTAAACGGCTTTCCATATTTGAGAAAAGATGAAGGGAGAGAATCATCAATCCCACTTGGAGAGTTCGTAACTTTGAAATTAGCAGAACCGGGCTATGGGAGAAATATAACAGTTAAAAATTTTTTTACAAGCGCGTTACTAGCAAGTAAACTTCTAGCAAAACGAACTACTCTTGTTGAAACTATCCGGAGAAAGGACAGTATGACACGCTTCTCAACAATATTATACAAATCGAAAGATTTTATTTTTACAATTTACAAAGCTAAACACAATAAAAAAGTATTGATACTTAGTTCAATGCATTCATCCGTTGAAATTGAAAAAAATGACACCCGCATGCCAGAGACAATTAGATTTTACAATAGTACAAAATTCGGTGTAAATGTAACCGATCAAATGGCCAGAAAATATAGTGTAAAATCTAAACGTCAAAGATGGCCTTTACAGGTATTTTTCATTATCTTAGGTTTAGCCGGGATAAATGCTTGGATTTTATATAAAGAAACGGCCGGTGAGGAAATATCGAGGCAAGAGGGTTTATTTCAATTGGGAAAAGAACTTGGGACCGAATATCAGAAAGAGAAACAGATAAGCACAGAATGCTCATCAAAAACAATAATAAATACAAATACTGTTTCTTCTGAACGGAAATCTTGTCAAATAAGATATTGTAAAGTCAACAAAACAAACAAAATTTGTATAAAATATAAAAAATATTTATGTGGAAAATGTGCAATACAAAATGCTGCAATTTGTAAAAAATGTGATGAAAATGCATAAAAGTAAATAAAACATATAGCATCGAAAAGCGGGGAACGAGTTTTTATTGTAGCATCAGAAAACTATTTTGTTTACTATCTACTTTACTAAGATAGATGTTTTTTTTTTTTTTTTTTTTTTTTTTTGAAGCGGTCATTTGACCGCTCATGGTAGGAATAGGTATACATGGAATGTCGGTAGGTTTAGTGTTAAACGAAAATAATCGAAAGATATAATCCTTGCTGTTCTTTCTACTGGGAGAAGATCTACAGAATTCCGCATTGAAATCGAGCCAGACTCATTCTTAAACTTTATGATTTTTTTAAACTGTTAGCAAACTAGTTAGCCACTTTGACTTGAGGACTTGAGTTAATGTATTTACATTGATTCTCATCGTTATTAAATTCATTATTTGTCCAAATTGTCGTTTCTAGTGGCTCTCGTTCGAGTAAAACCTTTAAGCCAAAAAAGAATATTCCGGAAGGCACGCATCAATATGATCTCATGAAACACGCTGCAGCTACGCTCGGCTCTGGTAATTTACGTAATGCTGTTGCATTGCCAGATGGCGAAGATCTCAACGAATGGGTAGCTGTAAACAGTAAGTTTAATTTAAAGAGAACATTTATTTTGTTTTAATTAATATTCATATTCAATTTTTTACAGCCGTTGATTTTTTCAATCAAATCAATATGTTGTACGGAACAATAACCGAATTTTGTACCGAGGAAAGTTGTGGTATTATGTCGGCAGGTCCCAAATATGAATACCATTGGGCCGATGGCTTAACAGTGAAAAAACCCATTAAATGCAGTGCTCCAAAGTATATAGATTATCTTATGACTTGGGTTCAAGATCAATTAGACGATGAAACGTTGTTTCCGTCAAAAATTGGTATACCATTTCCAAAGAATTTTTTAAATATAGCGAAGACCATATTGAAACGTTTGTTTCGCGTTTACGCTCACATCTATCATCAGCATTTCTCCGAAGTTGTTAGACTAGGAGAAGAAGCGCATTTGAATACATCGTTTAAACATTTCATATTCTTTGTGCAAGAATTCAATTTAATAGACCGCCGAGAATTGGCTCCTTTACAAGAACTCATCGATAAACTGACTGCCAAAGATGAAAGGCAAATGTAGGATTTAATACATGTGGGTGCTTTGCATGCGGAGTTTTGAGTTTAAGAGATTTTTCGATTTAGTTTACTTAATGCAACAATAGTTGTAGTC